AAATGGGGGTTCCAACAAGATTTTATTTACTAAGACAACTGGGAGGCCTATATTTTGCTTTATGGATCTCCTGCCACTTTTGAGACCCCAAATGCCCTGTGCCCTCTGGCCTAGTCCCACCTCTACAGTGTACAGCCTCCTCTCATTGCCCTCTTGGTTCTTCCCACACAGCCACCTGGATCTTTAAGGGCTTCTGCAAACATTGGCTCTCTCTCTCTGTCTCTCTCTCTCTGTCTCTCTTTCTCTGTCTCCCCCTTTCTAGCTCACTATTTCTCACCTGTGCCCCTTCACACCTGGCTTCTTGCTCCATGCGGAGCTCCTTTTCTCTGTCCAGTTGTGCCTTAGAAACCCTGACCCCTCTTCACTTAATAGTCACATCAGTCTCTCAAGAGAACCTTTCAGATGCTCTAGATGAGGTCCCAGGCCCTCTCAGGTGCCTATATATTCCCTCTTTACAGAGCTTGGCACATTGCAATTATTTCATAAACTACTTGTGATTATTTGTTTCAGGTCCGTGCTTATCTTTAAGTCCCAATTGGAAAGAAACCACATTGACCAGCCTTTTCTATTCCATTTCCAGAGCCAAGGACAGGGAGCTTGGCACATAAAACATCCTCAATAAACATTTGTTGCCTGTGCCTATGTCATGGCTCATAAGACTTGTTCATTCATTCACCACTGTTGCTCAAGCACCTACTATGTGCCAACCGTTGTGCTACACAGTGAGGATACGGGAGTGACACATGCACAGAAGGTCTCTGTCCTCTTGAGGAGCTCACATTGTGTTGGGAGTAACACATTCTAGAAACTGGATTCTATTAGTCTCAGTGTGTGGTCTTAGCAAGGCACTTAATGGTCTGAGCTGCATAGAAAATAGAAAGGGACAGACTGAATTGCCCAATTTAAAGTTTCCAACTAAATTTTGAGGAGCCCTGGGGCTCTATAGTGCTTCCTAGGTTCAGCAAACAGTGATGTGCTTCTTTCCAGGAAGATTCCAATTGTCTAAATAAGCTATTTGATGTTGCTGTTGCTGCTGTTGTTGTTGTTGTCGTTTTCTTGTTGCCATTTTCTCTTACGGAGTTCCACTGAAAAGTTCACATGTAAAGTAGGCTCCACTGCTCAAGAAAGAGTTGGAAGCCACTTGTTAAGTCTGACCATGGTATGGGCCAGAGTGGGGGAAGGCAGAAACTCACAATGCCTTTAAGATGGGGTCCGGAGAAGCCAGCCAGATGTGCATAGGGGAATGACTTTCTGGGAAACAGAAGACTGTGTCCAAGGAAATGCACAGATGGAGTGCCAGCCGGAGAGAGAGAGCAGTTCAACAGAGACCCAGCAAGATGAGATGGAGCCAGGCACTCCCTGGGTCTTGGGCACATGGAATGGCATGCCTAGTCATTGACAATGGTCAGAAGCCTGATCAAGAAAAATGAAGCTTCCGGGAGTTCTGAGAGCAATAGGCCCAGAGCCTAAGGGAGGGATGGGGTGAAAGGTAAGCCAGTTTCCAGTCTCAGAGAAGCTGAGACTTAAATACAAAGAGGCAAGACTTAAATCAGAACTGAAGCCCGTGGTGGGGGCCTGGTTGGTTTCTAAGAGGGGTACCATGACAGAGCAGCAAGCTGATTTATGCTTCTAATCAAGCTTCCTGACCAGAAGTCTTTAAGTCTCCCACTACTCCTTGCCCACAGTCAGCCGGGAGGTAAGAAGCAGAAACACAGCTCCCTTTACCTGATCCCTTGAGCCGTGTTTTCCCACTACCTAACCCATGCGATGCAAGCTGGGCTATGTTCCAGATCCAAATAGGATTTTCTATGCCTGTACTAGACAATGAGTTGTTTATTGAGTGCTTAGTGAAAGGGAGAAGATAATTTACTCTTAACTGAGTTCTGGTTCATGTCCTCAGGAACCAGACTGACATTTATGTTTTAGCACCAGTCCATTAGGGGAACTGGAATGGCCTTTTCTGCCTCTAGCTGAGCAGAGTCTCTGAGGTGGTCTTAATGGTGATTTTCAAGTTCCGTCTACATAATTCCAAAGATACAGGTCAGTTCAGGCCAAAAATAAATAAAAAATCACTACTATTAATGGTAAGCTAGTGAGAGCACTCTGCTCACTTTGCACTTCATCCTACTTGCTCCTAAAGTTCACAGATCTTGGGGAGGAAGCAGAGGACCAAGCTAACGTGCCCCCACCTTAGTTCCCTGTGCTACATTAACCCTGTGGTACTCTTCAAAGCACTTAACACTCTTTAAACTAACAGTCTATTTTTAAATTCCTTCCCAACTAGAATATAAACCCCACAAGACAGAGAATGTGTCTTTCTTGGGTAGGGCTTTAGCTCCAGGGCCTAAAATCGGATAAATGCTCAGGAAATAGCTATTGTACGTTCTAATGGTGTCAATAATGAATTTGGGGTGAGATAAAGGTGGACATATGTGTGAGGATATTACTATCATTTGAGTGTCCCACGTATGGGATAAAGAGGGAGAACTAGCAGAATATTTTAAATATCTCTTGCTGTTCTCACCTTCTGGGATCTAATCTATGGCTAGGCTTTACTTAATTTGGCTTAAAGCACATGCTGTATAAAATACGTCCTGTGAAAAGCATTTTGAGTACTGCATTTTTTTGTTGCTTTTCTTCATTTTTTTTTTTCAAATTGCCATTTACCACTTTTAGTATAAATTCCTTTTGAAAAGCTCCCACCTTGTCTCTCTGAAGAGGAGCACCTGGGTGTCATGAATACACCCGTGGCCTGAAATATGGTAATGGAGGGAACAGACCAGGTTCTGAGTAATAAAAATTACTCTGGAAACAGGATTCCGGTATTAATTTTTTATATTTCTGTAGTTAAAATTTTAGAACATTGAGATACCATCTCACCACTATTAAACACACAAAGACAACATTGGTAACTGGCTGTGTTGGGGAGGGCCTGAGGAAAAAGGCACTCTCAGCATTGTAGGAGAATACATTGACATGACCATCATGAAGGGCAACTCAGCATCTATCAAAACAACAAATGCATGTGCCCTTAGCATTTTGCTATTTTACTTTTGTAGAATTTTTCCTACATATACAATCACAAACATATGAAATTGCATGTGTTTAAAGTTACTGATTGTGGCATTGCTTATAGTAGCAAAGTATCAAAAATAACCAAATTGACACCACTAGAGGACCTGCTAAATAAACTGTTATTTCCATCATGTAAGTAAATACTTCACAGCTGTAAAAATGAATGAGGATATTGCTTGTATACTCATATGAAAGATTTTCCAAGATAAACATTTTCAAATAAGCAAGGTGCAAAGCAGAGAGTATATTACTGAATTGTTTTTATACACACAAAATATCCTTGGAAGAATACACAGAAAACTAATTTTTTAAATGTGGCCTATGGTAGGCAAATGGGAGCATGCATGTTTAATTTTTGATTTGGGAATCATGAGAATTCATTATTTGTTTTTGGGGATTCACTCAGGGTGGTGGCGAAAATATTAAGGGAACAATATTAAGGAAAGTTATAGAATATAGCCTCAAACCTTTTTGGAAGGCCTAAGGGTTTTTTCTTTAGTTCTTGGCTGAAGGCAGCCAGAGTCTCTTTGCAGGAGCCAGAGAGATCAGGGCGCAAATACAATGGAATGTGAGTAGTTTACCTAGCTAGCTTGTTTACTCATGTGATCTTAAACTAACCTTTGAGCAGGATGGCCTTCTTGGCGGGGAGGTCGACCAGGGATATTACCCACTAATGATGTTTGTTTTGGGCATAGGAACCTGTCCTTTAATCTTTAACCTTTAGTGGAATTGACTCAAGCCTTTGTCTATTAAACTTTACTGAATAAATGCAAGTCTCACTGGCTGATGAGGGTTGGCGGCTGCAACTGTTTACAGCACTCTCCAGGGAGTCTGTAAGCCACCCAGACACACTCAGTCAAACTGACAAAGCATAACATCTGTGTGTCAGTGTACTTTATTTATCCATCATTGAGTCGGGGTCTGCAGGACAGACCCCCGCAGGTGGTGACCCCAACATTTGTTCATATAGATTACTTAAAATGCATTTAAAATAAAAATTAGCTATTTTAACACCAGTGGACCCTGTGAAGGATCACTTTAGGAGACTGAAACAGCAGAGGCATCATACCTGGAAGTAGAAGATGTTGGTTCTAGGCCCAGCTCTGACACTGACATCAGCATTGACATTGATGCTGATGTCAGGTTCAGCTGTTCCCTTTCCTGGGCCTTAGTGTCCCATGTATGGGATAAAGAGGGAGAATTAGCAGAATGTTTTAAATATCTCTTGCTGTTCTCACCTTCTGGGATCTAATCCATGGCTAGGCTTTACTTAATTTGGCTTAAAGCACATGCTGTATAAAATATGTCCTGTTAAAAGCATTTTGAGTACTGCATTTTTTTGTTACGCTTTTTCACTGATTTTTTTTTCAAGTTGCCATTTACCATTTTTAGTACAAATTCCTTTTGAAAAGCTCCCACCTTGTCTCTCTGAAGAGGAGCACTGGGTGTCATGAATACACCTGTGGCCTGAGATATGACAACGGAGGGAACAGACCAGGTTCTGAGTAGATGAAAACAGCTCAAAAGGAGATAGACAGCAAGGAGCACCAAGAAAAAATGTACTGGGAGTAGAAGCATCCTGTTAGATCCATCCTGAACCCTTGAACTTAGTTTATCCAGGTGGAGGTCCCAAGAAACCAAATGCAGCTCCCTTTTTAACAGTTCTGCATATGTGGGGGCTGAATTGCATATTGGTTTCATCTTGCTGAAGTGCACATTCCCCTTCCAGTAACAGTAATGTAGTTTCCTATTTTGGGGTTTCCTTCCCCCTCCCAGTGGCCCCTATCTGTGTTTTCTATCCCTGAATTAAGATGTCCCAGGCTGGTCAAACAATAGTATTATTTCCCTGTCTCGATGTCCATCATGTCCAGAGTTTTTGTCCAAAGTGCTGGGGAATAAGATGCTCTTTTTTCTGTTCCAGTCAAACCCAGGGGAGAGGAAAGGTAAGATGTAAGCTGCTGGTCACCACCCTGAAACTGCATCAAGCTTAGGAATGAACAGGGAAAGCACAACCAAGAGATGGTGACATCTTTGAGGTATTATCAACCTGCTCCTGGAAGCAGCGTGGTTTTTAAACCACTTGCACCAATATGTTTTTTAAAAATTACTTAAGCCAATTTGAGTTTCACCTTCTGTTTCTAAAAGTGAAAAGTACCTGCAAACAGCCTCTTGTACATGGATATTGATATCTCTTCCCAGATTTGGGACGTTTTCAGCTATTATTTCTTTAGCTAGGTTTTGTGTCCCTTTATCTCTCTCTTCTCTTTCTGAAATTGCATTATATAAATATTAGTTCTCTTGATGGTTTCCTATAGATCCCACAGACTTCTTTTACTCTTTTTCCTTTTCGTTCTTTCAACCAGATAATGTCAAATGTCCTGTCTTTGAGTTCACTCATTATTTCTCTGCTTAATCGAACCTACTGTTGAAGCTTTCTATTGAATTTTTCACTTTATTCATTATACCTTAAAAATATATACAATTATCATTTATCAATTAAAAATAAATTTTAAAAGGAACAAATGCCATATAAATACCAACTCCACTTGACTTATAGTGACTTCCTAAAGAACTATATTGGGAAAAACCTTGGGGCCTTGTCTGGGCTGATGACTCCTAAGGAAGATATGCAGGAAGAGGGAAAAGGTGAAAATTGAGCATTCCTTTACTAAGTCGAAACCCTTGACTCAGTCTTCTGCCTCACTCTAGACTGAGCAATGCTTCATACACCTCCAAGCCTTGATCTTTCAGGTTGACATACAGGAAGGAATTTGTCAGCATGTATTCCTAAAGGATAAATGTCCACTTTTGCTTAGATATTTAGTGGGTGTTCCAGCCCTCAAAGAACTGTGCTTGGTGCCATGAATAAATTTGTTCCCAGTATCTGACCTAAGAGAATTTGTACTCGAAAGGAGAAATCTGTTTCCTGCTTCACCTTGAAGGGTATGTACTCCACTCACTTCTTTGACCTCAAACAATTGGTAATCTGCAAATAGTCAAAGTGAGCAATGATGCCAAAAAGCATAATGGATTATAGAGGTACCATTTACAAAGTGTATAAAACAGGACAGGAAGTGAATCCTAGGGATCGAAGCAATGGAAGGCTACTCTCATTATTTCTTATCTAGTTTTCATGGTTCCACCAACCTGAGCAAGCTGATCTGGTAACTGAGACTCTTCTTGATAGAACTTTTATTGGTTCTGACTCTATTTGACATCCTCAGAAAATAAACACCAAATAAGAATGAGCTACTTTTCTGGAAAAAAGAAACTATTCACTCAAAGCACTTAAAATTGAAACACATCCAAAAATATACTACTACTTTTTTTAGGGTACCCTGTTATGAAGGTCTACTTTATATACAACACAATTAATTTTTTTTTTTAGCTGCAGAGTTCTATGAGTTTTGGCAAATGCATTCAGTTGTGTGACAACTACCACAATCAAGATGCAGAACATCTCCACCACTTCAAACAATTTCCTTGTGTCTTTTATCATCAATTGTTCCTCCAACTCACAGCAGAGGTCTGTTTGCTGATCCTATAGCTTTTAAAATGCCATATGGATGATATGCAGTATGTAGCATTTTGAGTCTGACTTCCTCTAATTAGCATAATGCATTCGATATAACTCCAAGTTGTTGCATGTATTGAGATTTCATTTCTTTTTATTACTGAGTAGTATTCCATTGTATGAATACATCATAGTTTGCTTATCCATTTCCCAGTTGGAGGACATTGGGTGTTCCAATTTTTGGCAACTATGAATAAATCAACTCTAAACATTTGTGTATAGGTTTTTGTGTACTTAAGTTTTCATTTCTTTGGTATAAATACCTAGGAGTAGGAATTTTGGGTTATTCTGTAAGTGTATGTTTAATTTATAAGAAACTGCCAAAGCATTTTCCAAAACAGCTGTTTCGTTTTGCATTCCCAGCAGGAATAGCCACCTTTATTTTTCAATGTGTGGAATGTCATTTTACATAGATCTGGCACATTGTCATATCTCAATTAGGGTTCAAAAGACTTCATGTCAGTGCTCAGAGCAAAGTAACCTATAGATATCACTTGATCATTTTTCTGACATGAGACTTACAGAGTACCATCTATGGGAGTGATTTTTGAAAAACACATAAATGAATATTGGTGCATAAAAGGAAATTAGAACTCACTAGTTCAACATCTTTAAGTATGGCTGTTCTGATCCAATCATAATCAATTGTCACTCACTAAAGCCCTCCTTAATAGCCTTATTTTACTGCCCATATGAAGTTGGGTACATTACCTAACTGCCTTATACCACAGTTTTTTCATCTCTACAGAGTTTTTGTAAGAACAAGAGAAAAAAAATATGTGAAATCAGAAAGGAATTAAACATTGTGCTAATTAAAAAACAGACATTGCTAGTGAGTGTTCTTAAAGCCTAATAGCATAAATCATGTGATTACTAAACGTTAAAACTAAAAGAACCTTAGAGATCTTCTATTAGGTCCCAGCTCTTAATGATAGACTGAGTGAGAAAACGGAGGCTCTGGAAAGCCAACCTCAAAGTTACAAATGGCAAAGCTAGTTAGAGAATTTAGAACTTCTGACCCTTTGCCTGGTTCTCTCATTAACCTGTGCAGCCCCCTTCCAAAGGCTGGTTTAAACAAAAATCAGACACAACCAGCCTTTAAACAATTATACACGTCAGTCCTTATCGTGATTGATAACCACCCAACTTAAAGTAACCCCACTCACTCCCTATCACATCTCCCTCGCTTACTTTTATCATAGCAGTCATTTTTCTGCTGTCTCTCTGACCCTTTGTGAGTTAAGATCTGCCAGAGTAGCAACCTCTATCCACTACATTGCTAAAACATCATAAGTTCTTAATAAATGCTTGTTGAATTATCATTTTTAAAGTGAATTTCAATTAGATCATTCATACTCAACAGGTTTGACTAATATGACAGATACCTTTTTTGACAAATTATTAAGCCACTTGTTAGGGTGACTTGTAGGCACCATAATAAGCCAAATCAGAGCATAAGAATTGCTCAGTCAACCAAATGTGATGAGCCTAAATCCCGTTCCCATGCTGTAATCTCCCAGTCCTGTTCTGTCTTGCTCCTCCAAGGGACATGTTGTATAAACAGCATCAAGTGTTAACTTGTTAAATCAGTTACACCCAAAAAATGTTGAGATTATTTAACAATGCAATAATATGAGGTCATATCAAGAATTCCAAGGAGAGGCAAAGTTTTCAAAGACTCCAGTTCAATGCCAGGGAGCTATTGTTTCTAAATGATTTTTGGAAAACGAAATATTAGTTCCCCAGCTAATGCATTTCATGATAGCCCATTGTGCTTAGTTCTCTAATTTGAAATTCTTTACTTATATCCATTCCAAAAGCATCTTATTAGTCTCACGCTTGAGAAGGAATGTGTAAATCAAATGCTTCTAAATTTAATTTGATTTAAATTATATTTTAACTACTGTAACCCCTCTGTGGGAAGAAGACTAAAAACACATTTTTGCCAATTGTCTTTGTTCTGAACAAATATTGGTTCTATTTGTCACCATTGGAAATGTTCAGGAATATTCTCACTGGATTGTAAGTGCCAAGAGGACAAGAACTTTGTGAGTTTTGTTCATTGATCTATTGCTAGAGCCTGGGGCATTTCCAGGCACATAGGAGGAATCTAATAACTATTTATTGAGTACATAAGTAAACTTGAAGAGATAAGGTGTTGAAACTCTCCCAGGGCTTATTCAGGAGAGGTTACGCTGAGCTTCCAGCTAACAACTCTATCCCACAGCAGACCTGTGTGATCTTTACATCTGTAGTCTTGGGCATATTCCATAAGACTCCCACATTTTTGGCTAGGTTTCCCACCTATAGTATTTTCTGAGAGTCTCACTATGTACAAACACTGAAATAACTAAGCACCAGCAATGACTACAGAAACAAGGGGAAACCTTATAATGAGTGTGGTGGAGTGATTCAGTGAAGATCATCAGATTAAGATTTAGAAGAACAAAGTTGTGGTCACTCCCCCACCACTTAACAAGGTGAGAAGCTCGCCAAGTCACGTCTTCACTCTAGGCCTCATTCAAAATCTGTGTGTGTGTATGTGTGTCTGTGTGTGTGTGTGTGTATGTGTGTGTGTGTGTGTGTGTGTGTGTTACAGGTGTTCTAAAGAAACAGAATTTCTCATCTGAAAATCTCCATTCTGTGGCCGCACCCAAAGCGAGCTGACCCAAAAGTGAGCCATCTCCACTTTGGCCACTTCTCCAGATGCACAAGGAAGTTCTGAGAATGCTGTTGCGCCTGCCTGTGGCCAGGAACAGAGAGCCATGTCTGCCCACTTGGAGACAGAGAGGGTCACTTGCCTAATGTATTTCTTGCATTTCTTAAGGATGAGACTGGGTTCTTTTGGCTTCACTGGGTAATAAAAACTCTATGCATACATGCTAGAAGTTGAATGGTGGAGGATTCAAGGGAACAAACCAGATTTTATAAAAAGCAGGTAACAAAGCATCTTTACTCCTTTTTCCATAGACTCCTTTTGATAATGAAAATCATTATCAAAAATACTACCCCAGATGAGAGTGATTATCTGTAAAGCTGCCTTTGCTATCTAGTCCCCAAGAGAGCCCCAAGTGAACCAGGCTTCCAGTGTTCACAGCATTGAGTAATCCCCTCCTACACCAGCTCTAGGCTGGCCTTGTGTAACAATAAAATGCACCAGATGTGACACTGTGTGACTTCTGAGGCCAGGTCATAAGAAGCTTTAGAGCTCCTGGTTTAATCACTTGGAATGCTAGCTCTTGGAATGCACTCTCTTGGAACTCAGCCACCATGCTGTAAGAAGGCCCAGCCACATGCAGTGGACATGGATCATGGCTCATGGCCCCAGTTGATCACAGCCCCAGCTGAGCTCCCAACCAATCACCAGCATCAACTGCCAGCCCCGTGAGGAAGCAATCTTCGATGTCCAGCCAAGAGGAGTCTTCGATGACTCCAGCTTTGGCCACCATCGGAGTGCAACCACAGAAGAGAACCCAAGCGAGAACTGCCCAGCCCAGTCAATCCATCAGACCAAGAGATAATGATAAGCTATTTTAGATCAGAAACTTTTGGGGTGGTTTGTTATGTCACTTGTTACATCTTACGGTTCAAAAACATAATCCTCATAACTTTAATGTTCAAGGGTTATCACTTTGCTTTCTTCTTTGGATTTGAGACAAGCAACCTTTTTTCTCACTCAAAATGTTTCCCTTATTTGGTTCTAGTTGTGCCCTACTGAGTCCAAACATGAGGGAAATAACCGCCAACCACACATTCATATAACACACACAAAATAATGTCTTGCATTGTGGAAGAATTTGCTATTGTCATTGTTTTTTAACTTATTTTCTTTATATGTCTTTGAGTTCCTTTTGGAGTCATTGAATTCCCTTTTTGAGTGTTTTTTCCAAGATTACAGGCTCAAGCCATGGGTTTTAAAATAGCCATAATATATTAACTACCTATGACATTACAGCCACCATGCTAAATGCTTTAGACATATTAACTCAACAACAACTTTGCAATATAGGTATTTATTATCTCCTTTTTGCAGTTGAAAGAGCCATGGCTCAGAAGCATAAGGTGATTTGCAAATGCTGTTACTAAGCACTCTGAGGCAAGATTTGAACCTAGGTCTCCCTTAAGCAGCATAAATGTGGCTGAGGAATATCTGAATTCATTCACATCCAGAAATCACATTGTAGTTGTTGAATTCTTTGGCTGGAGCTATACCTTGATCAACAGAACTGTGTAATCTTGAAAATCACTCTGAAGGAAGGACTTACATGTGAGTTTTGGGGATTGCAAAGTGTTGACATTTTCAGACTGCCTGTGTATATTGCTGCAGATGTTGGTACAATTCTGCGTGGTCCAGTTTGCACTGATTATAAGACAGTCTGATAAAATCTTATGCCATCCCTCCAGAACATGAATCCTGGAACCACTCATTCAAGGGGATCTGGAGAGTGACCCACAGTAGAGTGAGTCACAGAGACCCAAGAGGTTCAACAATCTGGAACTCAGAGTCTGCTGGAATGAACTGGAAGAGAAGAGCTATGTAGCAACCAGGGCATTTAGGAAATGTCACTGTGAATCAATCCATCTGCACTGGAGGAAAAATGAAATACATAACAGAACATAATGCCTTTTTGGGGTGAGTGTGGGGGCTACACTTGTGCGTGCACGTTTGTGTGTATATGTGTGTGTTTGATGAGGTGGGGGCTGCTTCTTTTCCATGAGTCATTTCCAAGTAACTTCTACTCTCACTCAAAATGTAGCTCCCTTAAGCCAGTTTTCCTTGCTTTCTCTCATAGGTGAACCATCCTGGGGAAACTGAGATAACCCCAAAGTAGATTCCATGATGGTGTACTCTGGGGTGGGGTGGGCTGCTATGTTTTGTTCTTTCTCTGGTTTATTCCTGTCTCTGCTCACATTTGCAGTCCCTTTCTCCCACTAGAACATTGGTCATTTAAAATATATTCATAGTAAGATGACAAACAGTTCCTCTTTAGAAATACAAATGTATGGCTCTCTGAGTCTTCATGTCCTCAACTATAAATGCTTATACCTCCCATCATAAGCAAGCTGGCCCTTGTCAACACACACGCATACCCACACAATGTTGTACTAGGTGGTTCATAGGAGAGGATTTGAGGAGAAGACCAGGTTAACCTAAAGACAAGCATGTTGATGAAGCCAAGTCAGGAGCAAAAGGAGATCAGAACAGCTTGGCAGCAAACAGCATGGGCCCTGAGACCATATCAACAGAATTCAAATTGTGCCCCTGCTACTCACAAGCTATCGAACCTCAAACAAATGACTGAACTTCTCCAAGACCTCATTTCCCCACCTATAAAATGGGCATGTTAATCATACCACCCTTGAGGTTGTTGTGGGCATTAATTGAAATCATGCATTCAAAGAATTTCATCCAGTACTGATATACCATAAATGCTCAGTAAACATTAGCTGTAGTGTTTATTATAGAGTACACAGGGTAAAAAATATAATAGCAATTATATGTTAAATATTTGCAATAAACAAGGCCCTAGGTTAAGTATTCTAAGTACATCATCTCTTTTCATCTTTAGAGAAACTCCATAAGGCAAATTCTAGAATAACCCATTTGACAAGTGAGGAAACTGAGGCCCAGAGAGGTTAAGTCATGTCTCCAAGGTCCCAACGCTGCCAAATGTCAGAGTCCAGTGTTGACTCCAGGCCTTGAGGTCCCAGCCAAGTCCTACCACCAACTTCTTTTCCTAAAACCTAGAATTAGATCACTTGTTGAACATCCGTTGACACTTTACTTTCCAGGGAATTTTCAAAACCCCAATCCCTCAGAAGCCCCAAAACCTTTAATATGGCCCTTTAAAGCACCAGGAACATTCACAGCAAAAGCCCAATAACTACACATGGAGTAGAAATTAACATATGCAGAGGACTTTTTCTTGTTCATACAAAAGCTTTTACCCATACTACCCAAGGTGTGAGAGTGAATATACTGCAGGAATGTACTTCCTACTACAGAAACCAGCAGGGCAGAGGAGGTGCTTTCAGTAGGGTATGTGTAACCCTTGCTGTGCTCTGAAGAAGAGGGTCAATTTCTTTGGTGGAAGTAGCAACACAAACCATTCCTCCAGCAATAAAATCCCCAGCTCCCTTGACAGCAAAGCTAACCTCAGCCATACGGGCTTATCATGTATTTCCCAGGACCCAGGAGTCTTGGAAAGTTTTTGAGTGGGCTTCTACCTTAGCATTTGCTTTCTGTCAGATAATACAGTGGTTATGTCTGAAGGGTTTCCCCGAGGAGTTCCAGTTCTTTTAGTGGTGGTAACATCAAGTAGTCTCCAGACATTGCAGGTGGGTGGTTGAAATGCTTGCTTTGGGAGGGGTGACCAGTCAGCTGGGGCCACAAAAGCCTTGTAATTAGAATCAGTGTGACTAATTTCCAGGTAGAATGAGAGGTTCTTGAAAATTGCTTTTATAGAAATTATACTCACTGGCATCCAACCTGCCCTGAATCACTCTATACTCACAACAGAAACAGCTGGTGTCAGAGAACTCTACAAATATGGCAAATCATCACATGGGACTTTATCCATGGAGGCGAGAATCCTCTTGCATTGGAAGCTGGTATGCTGATGATGTCATGGTGGCTCAACTTTCCTGGTGTCTAAGAGGAGTGTCAGAGAGCAACCCTAACATGGATGTGTTGGGTGACCGTAGGTAAGGCTTTCCTTTTTCTGGTTCATCTTTCATACAATAACAAAGCTGAGCTAGAGGGTCTCCAAAGCTCACCAGCTTCCACTTTGTATGACATAAAGTTATCTGAACATGAGTTCAATCATGAGGTGATAAGAGGTAGCAATTGAACATTAGCTGTTTCATCCAAAAGCCCTACGAAGTTGTCAGCATTAATATTCCCATATTACAGAAGCAGAAACGGAGGCCCAGAATGGTTAAATGCTTTGCCCAAGACCATGCACAGAGCAAGGATTTTTACCCAAGCAGCATAATCCCAAGGTCTATGCTCTTAACCATTCATAATGTTAACAAAAACACTAAGAAACCAATGATGCATACAAAGGGTTCCAGATCCTACTTTTCTGGATATCTCCATTTTTATCCATAAGCAGTGTGTGTGTCAGTTCTCAGGCATCACCTGGAGGACACATATATAACGCTTACCTAAGCCCTAGCATGTCAATCCTGGACAGGTCCTGACAGATTACAGATGCTGAGGTTTTTAACTCATCATCCTTGGGCGTGCATTAAAGGGTCTAAGGGCCCTTTGAAAGTATGTGTAAATATGGGTGTGTGTACATAATTCCAAGAAGAGATTTCATAGTTTTTTGTTTGTTTTTTTTTTTTTTTCAGATTTTCAAAGGGGTCTGTGAAATTTTAGAGTCATCTTTTGACAGTTGGTAAAACTGAGACCTCAGTTGGAAAACGGACTTATCCCAGTATACACAAGGAGTGACAGAACTGGGTTCAGATCCAAGATCACCTGACCCCAGTCCCACTGCTCTTTGACTACATCACACTGAGCTAACTCATCCCTGCAACATGCACCAAGAATCTTCCAGGGTTAAATTGCAGGGTATAACATGCACAGCTCAGAGTGTTTGGGAATAGTTTGGAAAATCATCACGTGCCACGTATATCATCGACTTTAACCTCAGACCTCTGTATCTTGTCATTTCTTTGAAGTTTGTATCATTGATAGTTACCACTGATCTGCCACTCTGTTCATCTTCTGTGAATGAAAACTTATCCCACAGCATTGCATTTAGACCTGGTCCAGTCTGCCTTTACCTGGCCTCACCCCAGGCTTCCACAGATGCTTAAGGTGTTTGGGCATTTGTCCCTCACTGCTTTGGTTGCAATAATCAGTTCAAAATAAAACTGACCACAGCTAACCTACACAAAAAAATGGGTTAATGAGTAAACATTCACAGAGGAATCAAACTGTCCCGATAAAATTCAGATCAATCAAATTTGAAACAGGAAAATTTGACCTAGTAGAAATAAAACTACAATGGAAAATTCATAATGGCAGGAGCTAAAATTTGACCCAAATAAATTACTGTCAATAAATTACAAGCTATCATTGTGAAATTTCACATGCAAAAGAATTACTCTCCATAAAATGATTTCAATAAAATAAAAAAGAAGATGGAAAAAGGTAGAAATTATTTAACTGCTCTGTATCGAACACTTATCTTGGAGTGAAACTGAGTAAGCATTAATTAAGAAAATACTTTCTTGAGAAAAATGTGGCTATTATTGGTGTTTTTTATGTTGTACTTACAAGCATGAAGTCAAAACACCCACAGCAATAAATCGTGGAGATCAAAATGGATGGCAGACTAAACATACGTTCAAAATGACAGCACCAATAAAGGGAGGTTACAACTTCCTATACCTGTGCTCGGTAAGCGGTGGAGGCAATCATTTGCAGATGACGCTCAGACACGGAGGCAGACTGAGGCCATCCCTGTCTTCTATGCTCACCTAAACAGCCAAGCACCTAGCCCAGATTACATTCCTCTAAGCATGTCTCGGTCCCACAAGTTCAACAAAGAAGTGTTAATTATCTTCTTCGCCCAAACAAGTACTCTTCTGAAACGCCTGTCAACACAATAACAATAATAGCCAACACTTATATAACATGGGCCAGGCACTTTACATATATTAACACATTTGATTCACACCACAATCCCATGAGATAAGTACTATTATCATCTCCGTTTTGCCAGTGACAAACATGAAGCACCAAGAGCTTCACAACTTGCCTAAGGGCACACATTTGATAAGCAGTGGAGTTGTTCAGTGGTGCCACCATGCATCTTAGACAGGAAGTTCAGGTGAACAAGAGCTAGCTAGCTGAAGTTCTATAAAATTGATCAGAATTTCAGCTAAGCTTTTATGCAATACTTGCAATATAGATAAGGTTTGGATTAGTGTCCTGACGCTGCCACTCTCTATCTACAGGACTTTGAGTAGGAATTAATCTCTTAACGTCTTTGAACTCATTTCTTCACATGTGTTATATGAATAATTATACAATGCAATTATTTCTTGTAGGTCAGAGAAATTAAGAGAAGTCAATTATATAATAGGAGTAACCTTTAGAACAGCGTTTGAGGTATAAGTGCCCAAATCCAAACTGTGATGATAAGAATAATAGGTAAGTTCATCAGAGGATTCTGACTTGCCTTGGAGCCCATATGACTCATGAAGTCAGGGACTGTCATGATCTTGCTCACTGGACTGTGAGTTTAGCACATAAGAGGTTTTCAATATTAGTTGGTTGGTTGGTTGCTTGCTTGCTTGCTTTGTTGGGTAGGTGGGTGGTTGGGTGGTGAGATGGTTGGTTAGTTAATTGGCTGGTTGGATAAATGAATGGATGGACAGAAGGATGGCTGGCTGGCTGGCTGGATGGATGGATGGATGGATGGATGGATGGATGGATGGACGAATGGGTGGGTGAGTAGATATATGAATAGATGGGTGACCATCTGACTCCTCTGTCTCAAAAGGGCTAAACTCAGAATTTTCCTCCTAGTGCTTTGCACACATGTATCCAATCTCCCCCAGACAGACTAACAGATATTCAAGGGCAAGGATGAGCTTTTCATCCTGCATCCCACCATGCCCTGAACTTATGACTTCCCAAGGAAAGAGACTTGAGATTCTGAAACAATACTCTGAACCACTCAGACCTCAAAATACCTTAAAGTTGCCACCTATCCCCTGGCACTTTATTCCATAGAAGATTCATCACTGAAGGGATGTCCTGTGGTGTTTGGTGCAATAATGCTTATATAAGCCAAGGTCCCTGCCCCTTGGCTGTCATCAAGATTTTCTGTCATCCCTCCTCTTTAAGACAAAGGGAAACCTTCAAATGTTCAAAAGAGAAATATTTATCTTGAAGATCCTAAATTCCGAAAGGGAAAACGTGTAACCATAGTTACATAATTATGTAAAACACTGATTTTTCAGGTTAGACAAAACTGGTTTTGAATCTCTGCAAACATTTGAAGTACTTTAAACCTTGATTCCTTCATCTGAAAAGGGAAGATAATGTCACCTCCTTTGGAGGATCATTTGGAGGATCAAATCCCATACTTCAGGTAAATTACTTAGCACAATGACTATCACAGCTTCAGTAAAAGAGCATGATTATCCCTGGTCGAACTACTACCTTTTTGAAAATTAAGAAAAGACATACCACATCTATATCAACTTATTCTAAACAAATGAAAATTATGCTTATTATTCTCAATAAACTTTTGCTGAATACCTGCTATGTATGTGAGCAGCCCTATCACCTGATTTCTCCATCACTCATGAGCAATAAGTAGTTATAATATAGTTTTAAGACTTTCTTCCTCTTATAAGTGACAAGAGGTCAAAATCTGAGCCCAACATTTCATCCCCTTATTTTTTTACTCACTCATTTAACAAATCTTTAAAGGCTGGGCATGGTGGCTCACGCCTGTAATCCCAGCACTTTGGGAGGCCAAGGTGGGCGGATCACAAGGTAAAGAGATTGAGACCATCCTGGCCAACATGGTGAAACCCCACCTCTACTTAAAAAAAAAAAAAATACAAAAATTAGCTGGGCGTGGTGGTGTGTGCCTGCAGTCCCAGCTACTCGAGAGGCTGAGGCAGGAGAATTGCTTGAACCCAGGAGGCGGAGGTTGCAGTGGGCCGAGATCGCACCACTGCACTCTAGCCTGGCGCCTGGTGACAGAGCAAGACTCTGTCTCAAAAAATAAAAAATCTTTATTGAGAGCCTGCCATGCATCAGACACTCGGATGCACTCTGGAAATACAGAGCTGAGTGACCCAAACAAGATTCCTGCTTTCATGGAACTTCCAGTCTAGGTGGTACACATGGAATATTTCCCCCCCCCCCCAAAAAAAAACTTACAATAAAGTATACTTTTAAACTATGATAAGTATTTTGAAGGAAAAGTGCAGGGACCAACGAGCACAAGCAAAAGAGAAATGCTAAGGACATGAGGAAAAAGAAAACAGAGACAAAATGGCCTGGTGCCGTGGCTCACACCTGTTATCCCAGCACTTTGGGAGGCTTAGGTGGATGGATCATTTGAGCCCAGGAGTTTGAAACTAGCATGGGCAACATGGTGAAAACCCATCTCTACAAAAACTACCAAAAAAAAAAAAATTAGCTGGATGTGGTGGTGCATGCCTGTAGTCCCAGCTGCTTGGAGGCTGAAGTGGGAGGATCACCTGAGCACCTGAGCCTAGGAGGTCGAGATTGCAGTGAGCTATGCACTCCAGCCTGGGCAACAGAGTGATACCTTGCCAAAAAGAGAGAGAGAGAGAGAGAGAGAGAGAGAAACAGACAGATGGACTTCACACAACTTGGAAAGAAAGAAAAGAATGCCACAGGACTTGGAAGAGGATCCGAATATCAGTTTATGTAAGCTCTTAGGCCCTTAAAACAACCAGAAATGAAAATCCAAGTAATCTTTCTGTTTGCTATCCTTTCCCTCCACCCACTAGAGCCCCAAAGCTATGTGTTCTAGGACAGACAAAAGTTAGTTTTGTTTTGTTTTATGAGCAAGTAGTTTTTGGTCACCAGGATTACCATGCAGCTGTTATTTCAGCCTAGCCCCTGGCAGCTCCCCTGAGGAGGAAAGCAGATGTAGCCATTTTCACTGCTTGCTGTCTGGTACAACGTTCAAAGAATCAGGGGCATTCCTATGAATGTCTCTATGAAGTAGATGTCCGATATATCCCCAAATGAACAAACATCAGAAGTTCTCTACGTGGGAGAATGTTCAATAACAAAAAAAGTCACCTTCACACTTATTTGGCCCATACAAGGAAGATAAAGAAGTTGAGAGTCATACAGATCATGTTTGAATATGGTCTGCTAGATTTGAAAGGTTAAATAAAATAAAAGACAGAAATGAGGCATCTATTTTCAAAATCCTTTTCATAGATAGTGGTAAAACATGCAACCCTACATTTAAAACACACACACACACACACACACACACAAACACAGAGTAAAATGGAAGGTTATGGAAGTAGATAATTAAGCATTCCTAAATACTGAGTAAAAAAGTGTTACTACCAATATTTATGCATAAGAAGTAAAGCATCTCTACATGAACATGGGCTCTTCCCAGGCTACTTGTTTTTCAACACATATTTGGAGGAGAAGGACGTCCCTAACAACTTTTTCCATGGTGTCGAAAATAGGTTATTCTCTCATGTTCATGATCTTCTGTCTGCTACCACCATTCAAGCTACAGGTACCATGATGAGTGAGACCCACAAAACTCTACCTGGCTGCTTCCCATCCTCAGATGTCCATAATCATCTATTATTGGCTCTGAAGTCTCTTACAATAAGTTTCCTTCATTCATTTCACTCCCCACCTGGAATATTCCTCAAAACATAACTTACAGATCTTATAATTTGACAATCACTAATATAGGTCCAAGCTTTCTTTTCCTCCTTCTATTTTCCATTTGGGAAATACAGTCTATTTTTATTTCTAGGCTAAGTTACCTGACTGTGGTCAACAATAACACCAGTGGTTTTTTTTTTTTTTTTTTCCAAGACCTCCTGGAAAGTCAGTTATCTCCAATCCTGTTCTAGGTAACCAATTTTGATGGATTCAATTACAACAGAATCATTGTATTGATTTCAGCCCAGTATTACAGGCTGCTGAAACGAATTTTAATCTAGTTCCTTTTCATAATCATATTAGTGATAGCATTTCTCTCAGAGATGTATCACCTGCCAGAAACACAATACAATATAATGGTTTCATTTTCTAGCTCCAGCATCAGAGAGACATGAGTTCAAATCTCACCTTGATCACCACTAACTTTGGACTTAGACAAGCCACATCAATTTTCTAAACCTTAGTGGAGATAAAAATAATGGTAACTATACCAAAATATTCTTGGATTACATGAGAGTCATTACAAAGGTTTTGCAGAGGACTTAATGCATAACACATGTTCAGCCTCAACTATTATTTTTATTTTGAGATGTACACATTCTCTGGTCTCAAAAAGAAGTAAGATATTCATCAAATAATACATAGAAAAGAACAAAGGCTAGAGCTCTACTGCACTTTTTTAGAGACCTCCCTCCAGGTCAGCACTTTTCAAACTACAGGTTAATGAATGAGAAATTCATCTGGTGAGTCATAAATGAGACTTTTTTAACTAGAATAAATATTTTTAAATGAATAGAATAGAACAGAACAGAATGTATAAGAGTGCCTTCCTCTATGTTGTTGCATATGCACAAACCTATGCACACGAGGATACAACAGAAAATTCATTTCTTACTGTGGGCCACAACAACACCATAACAACAAAAAAGGATTCGAAAGCCACTGCTCTAGTCTGATTCAAAACTATTAATATTAAATACATTCTTTAGCAATGATAACACTATTTAGGAAAGACATCACTGCCCCCTACTGGAACTCTTGGATTTCTCACAGAAAAGAACAGCAATCAATTAGCCTGTCTTCTCATTATCCATGTGACCTCAACCATCCTTTCATCTATCCTGTCTGGAAGCTCACCTCAACGAGCCTCATCCCTCAAGCTTGTGTGATGCCCTGGAGAAGGAGTCAAAGGCAGCACTAGAAGTGGCAGCTCGGTTCTCACCCTTACAATCGTTTTGAAAGCACAGCATCTTTCCCTCCCACCTGCCTCCCAGAGCCTCTACTGGGAAGCCAAGCCAAACAACCCCATTGCGCAGTCCCGACCACACCTGTTATATCTGATCCTGCACCATGGCAGCTGGGCAGAATCCCCACCCTCTAAGCAGCCACTTTTCTCTACTTCTCTGGGGAAAAGACGTCTCTTAGAGGAAGGTGAATGAAGTACACATTCCTAAAGCCAGCACTTCCAGCAGCCATCATCTTCCAGTCCCCTGAGTTCTGGAATAATCAAATAGAATTCGGAGAGTGAGGGGGTACACATCAGGAAATACATGCTGTCCTACCCAAGAGGGAAGACTGCCAAGTGAAAGGCCCAGTAGCAAAGAGCAGCCCTAACATACACACCCTCCCACTTACAACATGGGACCCAGGAATAGACGTGCTTACTAAGAATCTACTCAATTCTGCTTCAATGTGACAGCTACCACCAATTGAGTATTCACAGCAAGCCATCCATACATCTCATCTCAAAACTCTGAGCAGAGGAATAATCGAAGCTTAAAGAGATAAAGTAAGTTGCTCAGGTCACTCAGTGATAAAGAAGAGGAGTGTCCCTGAATGCAGGACCAGGGTGCCCGGCCACACCTCTAGGTTTGGCTGCACTTCTCAATATCAAGGTTTACATACCTCCAAAGATGGATTTGCTTTAGCCATTTCCTTGTCTTTGACATAAAGAAGTCTGATATAATTCTGACAGCACTGGGCTCAGGGAAGTTAATTAATTTGTGGAAGGTCACAAGGTCACACAGCTAGTAAGAAACAGTTTCTAACCCAAGTATGCCCAACTCCAAAACACATTCCATTGCCCCCACCTGAGCCGCCACCTGAGTGAGTGCAGAGCACATTCCCCTGAATTTCTTCCTTCTTTGCCCCTTGTCCACACATCACAATGGGAGCAATTAACAAGGGGAAAAGAGACAAAAATTGTCAAGATCATGAAAAACAAGGAAAGGCAGAAACTGTCACAGAGCAGAGATGCCTAGGGAAATATGGCAACTAAATGCAAGGTGGGATCAGAAGGAGAACATTCATGGGGAAAACTCGTGATATCTGAATCAAGGCTGAAGTGTTTTGTTGGAATAGCCAATTCCGAATGGGTTTTCCACCTTCCCCACTGCTGCCCTAATCTAGTCTCATGCTGCTTCCAGAATCATCTTTCGAAAGTACAAATCTGCCTATGTTTCTTTCAACTGCTTATAACCCTTCTATAGCTTCCCCTCAACCTCCAGGTAGAATTCAAACCCTCTTTGCTTCGCTGAATCTGCTCCAGCCTCACTGAACTTACTGCTGTTCTCAGAAATCATCACACCCTGCCTACCCTCCGGACCTTTGTTTGACACATGCACTGTCTGTCAATACCAGTCTGCTGGTCTGCAGTTAGAATTAAGTAGATCTCCCTTTCAGAACTCAGTCTGAACGGCATGTCCTCCAGAAAGCCCTTCCTGATGCCCGTAACCCTGCCTGGTAAAATCCCCTCCCCTCAGTGCCCATAACATCCTGTAATTAACTTCAATCACAGTGCTTCTGATACTGAATCATATTACGTGATAAATCATTTGCCCCTTTCTTGTGACCCAGCTGCGTCCCCAATGCCCAAGGTGTGTGCCCAAACTGGCACTGAATGGCACTGATGCTCATGGAAAAAAGCTCAGTCCTCTTCCCTGCTTACTCCATTTCTCTGAGCGCACAAGGAAAAAGAGGTTGGTGATAGTCTGTCGTCTATACCCTCTGCCACTTATTAATCTGTTTTCAGACAATGCCAGATAAGGCCTAGGCTGGGTGCTTGCAATGAACAACAGGACCTAACTTGAAGTTAATGCATTGTTTTGTTTTCATTGTTTTTGCTGTTATTTATGGAATTCTGTTTGTGGAAAACAATGTAAGTTTTTCTTCTATATAGGCTAGTCATCCTTTATAAAAATGTTCATATGAGTAAAAGAAGTAAGTCAATTTAAGAAACATTTTGCAAATGGCTCTTTGAATGGTACATATTGTGATAAATGCATGCATACATACACACACACATACATATATACATACAACTGTGATGGTATCCCCAAACAGCAGAAATCCTGTCATTTGTGCAACTAAGTCCTTGAGTCATGAAACCACAGCCTCCCTCCCCGCCCAACACCAAGTACTGCTGTCTGTGACACTAACTACCAACGTGTCTGGGAGAAAGTTACCCTTCTGCTCCTCAGTTTACTCACCTGTAAAAAGAAGAGAATAAAATTGGGCTATAAAAATATATTATTTCATCTCTCCAATACTGTTTCTCATCCTGTTCATACAGTATAAAAATAACATTGCTGAAAAGAAACCCAAAGCTGAGGTTCTTATATCAGAAGACAAATATCTGAGGCGTGTAGAGGTTAAGTGACTTGCCCAAGGTCACACTGCAATTTAATGTCAAAATCAAGACCAAAACCCAGCTTCCCTCTAGTGATAGGCTCCCCCATTCCCCATCCTAACACTGTCCATTCCTGCATATTTCCTTCCTCAAATAAACTGCTGCCAAATGAACTGCATTATATTGGCAAAGAGGAAGCAAATGACCACACACACATACCTATATATACAGAGGTACAATATAAAGGCATCTTAATATAATGGAAAAGCAAATAAGAAAAGAACAAAAGCAGTATTGGATTTCAGAATGTTAATACTGTTGGCCAAGGAATGAGTATACCTGAAAGCTGAGAAAACATGGTACAGGGTTTTCCACAATGTTGCAATGCCCTCCTTGTTCTTTATTTAGATTAGATGTAAGGAGCCAGCAGCCACCAGCCCACATAAGTTTTGAAGGGACAATTAGAATAAAGAGGGCAACTAGATCATCTTTGGCTATGATACACTTATTTTCTAAAAATGTTTAAGTAGAGCCCAGATCCAATCACCACTTTACTCTCCGTGGATCATGAAAAAAAAATAGCATCCACATGTTTCCAAAGGGAATAGTTGGCCCACATTTTTAAATGAAAATGTTAAACACTTTTTAAAAGAGTTTTAGCAAGTGATTTACATATAGAACATAGTAATTGCAATTATATAGCACAATGTTTTTCTCATTTAAAAAAAATACTCTTACCCTTTTCTTTGGAAACATGCTAAACATTTTTATAACTACCCTGGTTACAGGTGAATTCATCAGATTTACAGGAATATCAAAGTGCACAGAATCAGAACATTTTAGCTAAAATGTCCAATAAAATGTAAAATGGATAGAAGCAATGCCTTTCACATATGTGTGTTTGTTTGCATATGAAAATGCGTATGTATCTTTGCGGCAATTGAGAAAGATCTGTCCAAACAGAAGTTCAAGTCAGAAGACACAGAAGTTTCAGTTGATTATAAAGCCCAGTAGAAACCAAGGACAGATGTGGCTGCTGGGGAGAGGAAGGATCATATTAAGGATAGTAACATCCCTCTGTGCTCTTCACCCATCAGCCAATGTCAGAAGCCTGGTGCAGTTATGGGAACTGCTCTTTCAGAGAAACAGAAACAAACCTGGCCAGAGGAGAGTAAATAGTCATTGGGAAAAGGGAAGGGGTGTGTAACCTGAGTCAGATGGGGAATGGCCAGTGGTATGGGTTCCAGGGCTGCATGAGCCTTCTTTAAATATATGATGTGTAACTGTTCCGGAATGCATGTGCCCCTGACTGTCTCCCAGGAATGTTGTTGAAAGGGCTCTTTACGGGAGATTAGACCGAATAGCCTCAACCACAACATCCCTCCCAGCTTGGGGCTTTTACAGCTTGTGGTGGGGGCAGAACCGCATTTATTCTACATGGTCGTGGATTCGATAATTTCATTTCCTTCCTGGAGAAGAATATTTTCTGGAGTAGACAGCCTTTTGACAACCAACTATGTCTCTAAGAGAAAATATGTGCCGATGCATAGACAACCTTGGTGACTAGAAGATGCAATGGCAGCTTAACTCAACGCTCCCATCTCACCCTGTGATACAACCAACCATCTGGTCAGTCCAAGAAGCTGGAAATTAAGGGCAGATGGTCTGACAATAAAAGCTAAGCTGATGGGCATCAGATGGAGGGAATTATGGCTGGTCTCCTTGTTTGTTCACACAAGGAGCAAGTTTGAACCACCTGCATCAGGTTTGCTTGAGTTGCTTGCTAAAAACCCATGTTCCTGGGTTATATCCCAGATCTACTGAATCAGAATTATTAGAGGTAGAACCAGGAAGTTCATGTTCAGCAAGTTCACCAGGTAACCGTTCTGCACACTATCAGAGGGCTCTTGTCCTGCAGCAGTTCTTCCCATACTTTTGTGTGCATTAAAATCACCAGGAGAGCTTGCACGAGTCAGGGTTCTGGCATCCAGAAATTCTGATTCAGAGACCATAAGTGGGGCCCCAGAATTTCCATTTCAAACAACCTCACAGGTAATCCTCATGCTGCTGGCTAATGGACCGTAATTTCAGTTCACTGTCTTAGAGAATTCCTGATTTCATTATCAAATAACTCAGATACTGTGGTAGGTCGCTTGGGAAATGATCCCCAATGATTCCTCACCATCTGGTATTCAAGCTGTTGGTAAACACCCCTCCTCTTGTGGGAGTTGGACCTAGTGACTCACTTATTATGAAGTGAATAGGCAAGACTAAGGAGATGTCACTTCTGTGATTAGGTTATGGAAAGACAGTGACTTCCTTCTCTCCTGCTCACTCTGGTTCTTGCTCCTCCTGTTTGGTCCCTCTGGTGAAGCATGGTACCATGTCATGACTGCCCCGTGTAGAGTCCCACATGGCAAGTGGTGGCGGGAAGCCTCTGGCCGATAGCTAGCAAAAAACTGACTCCTAACAATAACTGTGTGGGTGAGCTTGGAAGCCGATCCTTCTCTAGTTGAAGTTGAGCAGCCTGTAAGCTACCCTAAGCCAGAGGGCTCAGCTAAGTCATGCTTGGATTCCTGCCCTACAGAAACCGTGAGATTATAAGCTTTGTTTCAGGCCACTCATTGTGCTCTGCAGTGATAGGTCATTAATAGAGGTGCTTTGTAAAGGAGCTGCCCTGAGATCAATAAGATGCCTTGTAGCTGGGCATGGCGGCATGTGCCTGTAATTCCAGCTACTCAAGAGGTTGACACAGGAGGATGGCTTGAGCTCTGAAGTCTGAGGTTGCAGTGAGCCCTGACTGTACCACTGAATTCCAGCCCGGGCAACAGAACAAGACGCTGTCCAAAAAAAACCAAAAATGACAGGCCTTGGTATTCTCACCCATCCTTCAAGTCCTCCATCTCATCTGTCCCCATTGTGGATGAGACAAAATGTGTGTGTAAATGTAACTGGCAATATTTAATCATATACACTATTTATATGCAATGTGTGTCATAATTTTCTTAACACTCAATTTCCAAGCCTTGGCTCTTGAAAAGCTTCCCTGGAGTTTCAGGGAGGTTATCTGTGGGAGCACAGCCCTATGGCAGGAGGAAGATGGTGAATCCAGGTCAGGTTTCATGCAATTCATTAGGCCATTCTGAGGCTGTGCCTTTCGAGCTTAGAGCCTGCTGAATTCTCTTCTGCCAATCCTTGTGAGCACGAGGAGTGATACCTACTTTGGTTCTGAAGAAAGAAATGGGAGAAACTACAGGTTCCTTCACTGGCAAGGGGAGGAGGTCTTTCCCTGAGAAAATCGATGAAGAACACAAACTCCAATCTGCTTGCCTTTGCACCTGTGCAGTGACTGATTTCCTCACTGGGGGAGGAAGGAAGGTTCCCAGAGGGCAAGATTCCTCATCTTCTCCAGAATTACATGTGGAGAAAGTGCCTTTCAGAGGCTGTTTGTGTGGAAGGCAACAATCAACTGGTAAAGACTCCAGATGCAAAGCCTGGAGCCAGGAATTCTCATCGCTGCCCCATCAAATCTTTCTGTGGCCTGCAATGAGCCCCTCTGCCTCTAGACATCATTCTCATTGTAAAATGAGGGGGCTGGGCCAAGTAGAGACTTGGATCCTCCCAATGAGTATCTAAGAGTCTAGGGCAGGGGGCAGAGTCTGACCTGCCAAATGTCCAGAGACAGGACAGCTTTCCTCAGAGGGCCAGGCCACCACCACTCAGCCACCGCGCCCTCTCTGAGGAGCGCCCAGATGGGCTGCTGTGCCACATGGGGCTCTGGCAGATGTTGTCCAGCCTGTTCCTAATGGTGTCCTGAAGCTCCTTGTCACCCAGCAGGACCGCTGCTGCCAGGGCCAGCAGGAAGTACTCAGTGGCATCGTGGGCATCCTAACCCCGTGGCATGGGGGCAAAGAAGAGACAGCATTAGCAACACTTCCAGGACAGGCTAGGAGGCTGTGCTGGCCACTCCAGCTTTTTTTTTTTTTTTTTGCCCCATATTCCATCCCCATCTCCTGAGTCCTTAGGGGAGCTCCTCTCTCCCTCCACTGCGGTGCTTGGGGCACTGCTAATCACAGTGCCTTCCATCCCAGGCACAGAGGTGGCCCCTTACTCAGGCTTGGCCAATCATGAAACATCATTGCCCTGGACACAGTGCTTCAGGGATGTGTACATGACCCAAATCTGACCTGTGTCTGCCACTCCCTGGGACTTTTCACTGTGACTCAATAAGGAAAATGGTCCCTCTGAACTGGCAGGCTCAAAGGTGGACTTGAACCTGCCAGTAGCTAGAAGGGAAAAAAGCCAAGAAATGAAGCAAAATAGAAACATACAAAATCAAGGGATACAACGAAAGCTGGGGAAATCTCTGATGACGATTGAGAAACAGGATCCAGAGCTATCTGCCGCTAAATCTGTAACTCAGCTTTCACATTCTTTGAGCCAGTAAGCTGCCTTTTCTGCCTAAGGAAGTTCAAATTGAGTTTTTCCCTTTACAATCCCTAGAGTTCTTGATTGACATGATCAGATTACACACTTTGGCCCTGGAAGCTGTGGGGCAGAGGCAAGATGACTAGAGGGTCCTTCATAACCGCCCCCCCCGACCCCCCCACCTCCTTCACCCTCCCTACACAGTAAAGATGAGAAACAGATGATTCTTTGGGTGAGACTCAAGAAGGCTGCCTGGTTTCCATTAATCCTCATAAGTCAGTAATTAATTCAGGCCAGAAGCAAAGTCTGGCAAATAAGAAAAAGACAGCAGAGCTGCCCTGTGGGTTCTCTGGGGCCAAACACAGGAGTGACTCAGAAGCCACTATATTAAGAGATTAGCCAGGCGCGGTGGCTCAAGCCTGTAATCCCAACACTTTGGGAGGCCAAGGCAGGTGGATCACGAGGTCAAGAGATCGAGACCACCCTGGTCAACATGGTGAAATCCCGTCTCTACTAAAAATACAAAACATTAGCTGGGCATGGTGGCACGTGCCTGTAATCCCAGCTACTCAGGAGGCTGAGGCAGGAGAATTGCCTGAACCCAGGAGGCGGAGGTTGCGGTGAGCCGAGATCGCGCCATTGCACTCCAGCCCGGGTAGCAGGAGTGGAACTCCATCTCAAAAAAAAAAAAAAGAGATTAAGGTTGTGCTTCAGGGGACAGGGACCTCTGGTAAATGGAAACCAAAGCTAGGAAAACAGTTTGAAGGTCAGGGTTGTGACAGAGACTTGTAACCAACACAACTCTAGAAGTCACCAAAAAATAAGTTCTGGGCCAGGCATGATGGCCTACACCTGTAATCCCACCATTTTGGGAGGCTGAGGCTGGTGGATTGCTTGAGTGCAACAGTTTGAGACCAGCCTAGGCAATATGGCAAAACCCCATCTCTACAAAAAATGCAAAAATTAGCCAGGCATAGTTGTGTGTGCCTGTAGTCCCAGCTGCTAAGGTCTCAGCTCACTACAGCCTCCACATCTGGGGCTCAGTCCTTTGAGGTCTTCCGCAGGACTAAGTGGGAAGAGTCTCCATGTCCCCTATAGAGCCACTACCCACCCTATGAGACAAGACTCGTCATCTTGGCACTCTGGTTTTCTCAGCCCCACCCCAAAGGCTCCTCACTGTGTTTGGGTCAGGAAGCAGAATGGTTGGGTGGTGGCTGTCGAGAAATCTTGGAAGTCTGGCCCTTACCTTCAGCTGGCAGAAGGTGAGTTGGCCCAGGCGATAATACACCTTGGCGTAGTACAAAGCCTCCTTGGGACTCTGCAGCCAGGGTGGACAGAGGGACAGGGTCTTCAGATAGCAGTCCTCAGCCATCTCATACATGTGTAGGGAGTAGTACACTGTAGCCAGGCGGTGAAAGGCCACCAGCTCCTGCCTCCGATCTCCTAGGAATTAGAAGACTGACAGAGATATCCTGCAGCCAACACTTTCCTTCATTTGTTCACTCATTCAATCCATAAAACTTTTTGAAGGCCTACTGGATGTCGGGGTCTGTACTGGGATATAAGGGAGTAAGACAGAAGATGTGCCTGTACTCATAAAGCTTATTGCCTCACATGACAGGCATTCCTTAAATAATCCCACAAGCAAATGTAACATTACACCTGCCATATGTGCTACAAAAGAAAATGCGGGGCTCTATAAGAGTAACTAAGTGGAGGATGGGTGCCAGTCAAGGTTTCCTGGGGTGATTCCTAGAAGAAAATTTTCTTCTTATTGCAGATGCTACTGTAATGTAGGATTCTGGGAAATAATTCTTTTTAAACCCTTGTAATGGGTCATAGTGACAAGATTAGCTTGACGGAGTAGCTGAGTTTGCAATGGATAACTTTGCATAACAAATGCCTTCCTCACACAAAAGTTTATCTTCAGAGAGTTATCTTGGATACCACCATGTAGCAGTCTCTTCTTGGCCCCTTTACCCACTCTCAGTCTCAGATAAGCTACAGACACCTGTTCACCGTTAAACCATGCTTTAGAATGTTGGTTTCTAACAGGTCTATGACTGTTTGCTGGATTTGTTGTTTCAATACAGAGCGGCCTTTCACAGGGAACAAAGGCTTACAATCATATCTTTAAAATATTTGCAAGGTGGCTGTTGGATACGATCTAAAAACATCACTTGTAAGCTTCAAAGAGCCAAAAGCCAAAATTAAAAGAGAAAGTCTAAGAGAGAGAAAATTCTCTGATATGGAAAAAATCAGCCACAGGGGAAGTACATGTATAAAGGATGCATGCAATCTCCCTTCAGCTCCCATCCAGTGAGGGATAAAGTGTTCGGAAGAGCTGCCTGGGGCCTTCAAGGCCTTCCCTAGGATTGGCACACAGTCACTCAGATGAGGTCTTATGCAATAAGGAAAAAGGTATGGAAAAGAGAGAAAGAGCTCTCAAGAGTGCAATTAGACACAATAAAGTCCAGTATCATCCACATTAGATGCCCTTGAAAATGCCCAGAAGTCCCTTCTGGAATCATCATAGAATATTCCATTTACCCTTACATCTAATCAAGGCTTCTCTAATCAATCCTGCTTTTCTTCAAGCACCAACATTCAAGTTGAGGGGTTTTTACATCTTTTTTATTTTGCCATTTATCTGTTCCGGTGACTTTTATTGTTTCCCACTAGCTTTTGCCATAAACACAAGATATTCAGCTATGTTGTGAGTTAGGGTAATAGGGACCTGACCTTCATTTACATTTCCGTTTCATGGGAAAATGCACTTTTACTAACTGCAGTTTTACTCCCTGACAGTTGGACCTGGGATTTGAACCCACACAGTCTGACTCCAGAGCCTGTGTTGTTACTACTTTGCTCTCTGTCCTTGACTAGTCATCCCTCCCATTCAACACTCCCGACAGTAAAGACCACCAACCTGTGACTGTGCTGAGCCTGGCAGCAAGGGTGGCAAATTCCAAAGCCTTCTCATAGCCTTCAAGGCTGATCTGCAGCTCTGTCAGCTTGTTGAAAATCCGGAGCTCAGTTCTCACTGCCTTCATCCTCCTTGCTAAAGGAATAGCTCCAGCCTAAGAACAGAGGCACAAGGAACTTTAGTCTAGCTAGGAATTATCAATGCATACCATACACTAGGAGGCTTATCTTCTCCAAGCGGGGGTTGGGGGATGACAGAGGACTAAAACAAATGGGGGTCAGCCATGTTTCCTTGTGTGCCTTTACTCTACTCTCTCTCTGGTCCTTGCTCATGGTGCTTTGCCCATTTCTTAAAGTAGAAAAGTAGAAGGATTTGGGCCCCCTAACATTGGGGAAACCTGGAGGAACAAGAGGAGCCTTTTCCCAACGTCATGTGGGAAGTTGTTCCTATGTCAGCTGTGTGCTCCCCTAGCACCCACAGTGCTATCTATGAAACACACGAGTACGCCCACAGAGTGTTAATATCTCAGTAAGTGGTCATTTCTATGTCTTTATCATGATAGAATTTTAGGCAAATCACTTCATCTTTCTGAACCTTAGTTTTCTCATCTACACAATGAAATGCATATGAAAATAAGCCCCTCAATAGTCAGAGATGCGTTCCTGTTCTTCCCTAGCTCAGTGCCTGGCACAGACTGGGTGCTTGCTAATGTTTGATCACTGAAAAAAGAACTGAACAAACGAATGAATGAATAGCTGAATGAAAACAATTTTAGGTTCAAATAAGATAATGAGGCTTCCCAAATTTCAGTAAGTGATGAATAACAATCCCAATTTTTGACATATCTGCTTAATATCTGGACATTTATTTAATTTGTGTTATTCTTAACATCAACTCTTTTTTTCTTGCCTTATCCTTTGTGATAATATCTGTGAAATCATATGTTTGATTAGCTTGTATAATATATTTTTAATTTTTTTTTCAGATGCGGTCTCACTTTCTCATCCAGGCTGGAGTGCAGTGGTGCAATCTCAGCTCGCCGCAACCTCTGCCTCCCAGGCTCAAGAAATTCTCCTGCCTCAGCCTCCCGAGTAGCTGAGACTACAGGTGCGCACCACCATGCCCAGCTAACTTTCTGTATCTTTAGTGGAGATGGGGTTTCCCCATGTTGGCCAGGCTGGTTTCAAACTCTTGACCTCAGGTGATTCACCTGCCTCAGCCTCACAAAGTGCTGGGATTACAGGAGTGAGCCACTGCCCCCGGCCACATTTTTAGTTTCTAAAAAACATATTTTAATGCATGCTCATTAAAAATATGATCAAACAAAAGCATTCATCTATGTAACCCTTTAAATAATCTCCCATCGCACCACCAGTAGTAAGTGGGAAACATTGGTAAACTTGAAAGTGTGCTACAAACTGTAAAGTACCATGCACCCAAGAGTTTGAGATGGTCTTGAACTCCTGGACTCAATTATTTCGGTGTATTATCCCAAGAAGGATAACTTAGCAAGCCTGAGAATGACTACGTTTATCAGAACCCTCCCTGAGCTCCCGCTAGATTGAAGAGAGGGCGAGTGGGTGGGTACTGGACAAGAAAGAGAGAAAAAAGAAATAACAGCAAGAGAGGAGAAGAGGGACCCAGGCTGAAGTCCAACCTGACCCTGCCCACGTCTGTGCCAGGGCCTGGCTCATCAAACTGCACAGCTTGGACTTACTCGGTAGTACTCCACTGCGTGATGTCTGTGGCGGGTCCCATTGAAGAACACATCACCTGCTTCTTCATAAAGTTTGAGAGCCAGCAAAGACTCCTCTGACTTCAGGGCTGTCTGGATGGCTGCCTGGGTGGGACAGAGACAGCTGTTAAAGGCAGAGAGAAGGGCTTCCAGACTGCCACAGGACTAGCAGAGCTAAGATGCAGACCACTTAAATCAATTAATCCTCTGCTAAAGTCTCCCAAATCCTAAACTGGTGTGCACACTCATAGGACTGGTAAGAGGACTTAGAGATTCTCCTGTCTGGCATTTCCCCATCCTGGTGTGAAAGATTACTTTTGGCGGTGCTATATTATTTTTAATAGTACTTAGAAAAACATTTTGTTTTACTAAATATTTATTTTAATGTGTTTTAGAAAAAAGAGATTAACAATGCATAAAACCTGCAATTCTAGATATTTTTGTGTAGGATAAGGCTAAGTGTAAAAAACAGCTAAGTTGATTTGATGTCGAATCAAAGAAAAAGAAGTAAACAATGGTATAGAAGGTACATGTATATAGCAAAATCATGAATTTAATATGTAAATAACTGAAAGTGAAAAATAGTGATCCAGGTCAACACCTTACACCTTCCAGATGGTGATAGTGTTGCTCAGAAAGAAAACAGAACTTCCCCAAGTTCACACCAATAATCAGTGGCACACACATGTTAGTGCTTTCATCCCAATACCCTAGCCTCCACATCCTCTTTAACTCTAGCAAGCTATTTTGGATTGCATGTACACCAGTTGTGCTAAGGAAGTTGAAGAGCAAAGAATAAACCTGGGC